CTTATTTTGAAATGACTCCTTACCTTTTATTAGTTCTCGAAAAGTAAACCACACATATATTGAGACGCCAACGTAGTTTATACCCAGTTGTTTTCTCAGAACAGTGGACGCAGTTTCTTAGAACTTTTGTAATGGATTCTTCATCAGGAATTAAAATAGGTCACTTGAGGACTTCCTAAGGCTTCGGGTTCAAATGTGTGAATACTTTCTCAAATGCCTGCTTAATGTGCTAGCAGTAACCCCAAATTTTCTACTCTTTCAAACAAGAGCAGTTAAGCTTACCTTATTATAGACCGGAAGAACGGACAGCAGTAGTTACTGGACGTCTACTTAACATGCAACTGCCAATAGCCAAGTTGGCATGGTCTTTGTGATTGATAATTTTGAATTTGAGAATCTGAAATAGAGCAGTATTATTCCAGTGAGAAAATACTCTTATTTTTCATAATTTTTACTTATGCTTTTTGCATAGTTGTTCTAGCCCATTGTCATTCACTTTACATTTTCTCCGCAAAGTCGTAATGTAATTTGTAGTGAGCATTTGCAGTTTAAATGCACCAAAAACTACCTAATGCGAAACCACCTTCCGAGGCTCCTCAATTTTTGGACAACCGGCAACTGGGGGAGCCCTAATCTGGCTCTGAACTCGGAGATGAGTTTTGTATACTAGCGTTACAAAAACCTTGGCTAAATCTGAGCTAGATTTGAGCAATTTATCTTTCATAACCTCATTTTTTCATAGCATTTGTATGAAAAACAGGAGTGATAACATTACTCAAATCCGATGGGAGGTCATGTGGAAAAGGTACTGTGATGGCTTTTCACTGCATCATCTATCAAAAATTTTTGCAAGAAGTCCTTCTTAAACCTTGAACATGTGATGACTGTTGCTGCAAAAGTGGTTAGTTTCATCTGGTCCTAAAGACTTTAATTACAGTCAGTTTCAACAGTTCTTGAGAGACTTGGAAGCTGACCATAATAACGTTGTGTATGACATAAAAGTAGCTTGGTTGAGGCGAGGGAAGATGCTTGAGAAAGATGAAATTCAACAAATCGTGATATCTAAAGGCAAATCCAGCCTAAAATGGCTAGTGCCCGCTATAAAAAAAATAAATAAAAAAAAGAGGGAGTGAAAATCTATTTGCGAGTTCCCTAGAAGTGATTATGAGACTTCTTATTTCTTGCCGATATTACTGGCTATCTCAGGGATCTAATCTATCATTTACTGGGGTCTGCATGTTAATAATCTTCATGACTCTGTGAAACTTTTGAGACATTATTAATCCTATGAGAAAGTTATTTGTTAAATAAGAATTTCCTTTAATTTCAAAAATTGATGGAATTGTGAATAAAACTAGAACAAGGAACTCGAACGATTACGTACAGTGCATTTCAAATCTGAGAATGGAATGCAGAAGCAGATTTTCCGACTGAAGTGAAAATAGAATTTTCATTGGAATTATTGCGTTTATATACACATTTTGTTTTCCTTATTATATATGCATCTGTTCTAAATGTAAATATTTAATTCTTACAATTTTGTGTTGCCAGATTCAAAAATTAAATTCCGCGTGTAGGGATTGACGTCACAAGCAAGACTGTCTCAAGTAGAATTGGATGATACGCTCCGAAATCGACACAAAGGACCGATTCCCTTAATTGAACGAATGATCAGCGCTCCGGCGAAAACGGAACCAAACGTTTGACAAAAATTTGATTCCTTTTAATGTAAACACTAGCAGTCTTTTTCTTTATTATTTACCTGAAACTTCTCTGACCTTTTTATTTATTTATTTATTTATTTATTTTTTTGGTGTGTGTGTGTGTGTGTATGTGTGTTGCTTTTGGCTTATTTGTGTTTCATTTAGTATTAAAAAACGAAACATTAAATAAACAGACACCTCTCAGCGAAACTGACCAGCCCTTTTTGCAAATGGATGGAGTATTTTTCCCATCTGGCAGTACGAGGATCTGTTTAGAATACGTAGATTATAGTAACTAGTTCTTCGAATTCCCAGCTCTCAAAGCTCCGACACTATTCGGAATCGTGATTGGATCTGATTCCGACGAGTCTTCACTATTCGCTCTTTCAAATCTATCTAGTTGCTCGGATTCTAAGCTCTCTGATCTGGCAATTATTATATTTCTTTCAACCATAAGCGGTTTTAACTTAAGAGTAAGCACCTCTTTGCTCCCTGCTAAAAGGGTTCCTGCGCCCAGATATTTTATTTAAACTCAATCTCTTTAACATAATTTCTTTGATCTATTACTGACATATCATAGCACTTAAAGCTATTAATTTATTTATCTCATGTATCTCCTCAGAGGCAGTTCTGCCTCTCTGTCTCTCTAAATATAACTGGGCTGACGAGTTCCCAGCTCGCTTTCTTTCCCGAATCACTTGCGACGTGAATGTAAAAAAAAAAAAAAAAAAAAAAAAAAAAGGTCAGAGACGTTTCCGGTAAATTGATTTTGGCCCTTTATTCGATCTCAAAATTACTAAATTAATTAAGTTCTTCAGTGTTTTGAACCTTTTTTTCACTGTGGAAGGTAGTTTACCTTTTGTTATGTTCACAATTCGACACTAAATTTTACCTCTTTGCCGAGCCCTCTTTTTGATGATAATTATTTAATTTTTGATGATGTGGGGACCAAAGAGCCTCGTAATTGACCCCTTCCTTGATCCTTGATCGAGCTCTCAGCGCTCCGGCACTATTCGGAGTCGTGATTGGATTTGATTCCGACGAGCCTTCATTATTCGCTCTTTCATATCTAGCACCTGTGGAGTCTTGATTATTTGCTGTTTTTGTTTCCTTGGAGCTGTTTCTTTGAGTTCCATTTCGATTCTTTAAATACTCTGTCATAATATGGCTATGTATATTAGGTATTAAGTTTTTTATACAATATTACTGTAATATTCATGTAAAATGATAAATTATATTTTATTGTTTTACTTATTTTACTAACGTCTTGTAACGAATTGTAATTGCTGTGAATTTTTCTCTAATCTTCTCTAGAATTAGTATATATTTGTGAACATAAATTTTTCCATCTAATGTATTTTGTCAAGGTTGCAGAAAAAAGTATGGATTTTACCTAATAAAAGATCCTCGAGCGATATTTGGTATCATTTTGTCAAATTAGATTAAAAAAAAAAAAAAAAAAAAAAAAAAAAAAAAAAAAAAAAAAAAAAAAAAAAAAAAAAAAAAAAAAAAGGAAAATGCAGGTATGGTCAGCAAACAATTTCCTGTTTTTCAGGATCTGCCTGTAATCTAAAAAGTTATTTTTTCACTGTGCTTTGCATTAGCAACAAAGTATCAATTATAGTAATAAAATAATGTAATCTTTAACAAAAGTGAAAAGTTTTCATTATTTTATAACTTTTAGCCTTTTTTTTATTCCAAAATTTTATCGTTGTTCTAAGTAAAACATTTTATCGTTGTTCTAAGTAAAAAGGTTTTTTGTAGGGATTCTCGGAAATACAGTTGAAAGAAATCAGTCCAGGGAGTGAGCAGTTTGGTCGAATTGATTCCGGCTATCCCGCTTCATGTTCAGTTCTTTCTACTTTTTCTCCATCTTTGCACACCACTCTCGATCCATGCCTGTTCCGAACGCATTCATTAAGGTCATTATGCGGCGAATCGTTAAAAAGAACTGATTCACTTCACTGAGCGAGTGGTTCCAATCTGATCCCTTAAAGGGGCGGTTTTGTCCATCTCTAGTCTCGAGAGGCTGGGACAGGAATGTTCTCCTCGTCATTCTCAGTAGACGTCAAAGTGTTCCACCTGAAGAATTAGAATTTGTAGATTTGAAATGTGACTCTAGATTAAAATGCAAGTTTCTTGAAAATTCAGCGTTAATTGATTTTGATTTGGAGAGCGTATTCGAAGACAAGTATCAAGGAATACCTAAACATGCATTGTTCGTGTCTTCTATCTTCGGCAGCACCCAGTCCCTATGTGTGCAAAGTTATTTATAAAGAAAACGAAATAAAAAACAAAATCATCATTAGGGAGGGTATTTTGCGAAACTCAAGAACTCAGATTCCACCGAATATCGAAGTTTTAATAAATTAAAAAACAATTTCAAGTTTCTCACTAAGATTGAACTGACTTCCATTTTGCTAACAACGTGAGTTTTTATATTGTCAATGGATTTTGTAATATATGTTATTGTACATATATCATGTCACCTTCATTCTCTTCTATAATTGAAACAAAAATACAAAGTAAATTGATTCGAGTTCCATTGAACTTTATAGTAAAAAAAATAATATTGGCTTTTATAAAATATGGGTAACCCGTTTGTCCCCTTAAAATTAACTGGAGTCTTATAAACCTCCCTTTCTTTTATAAATTGTCTACCTATTTCAGTTATTTGACAGGCCTGTGGACCACGGACTTTTATGAATTTATTAATGTGGCTCTCGGGCATGATAGAGAACACCTAGTATAGGACATAGTTTGAGTATGAAAAACACCTAGTATAGGACATAGTTTGTCAGAAATTGCTTTGGGTGAGACATTATCATTCAAAACGCTTATGTTGGGGATTCGAAAGGCTTTGCATTTCCCTGAAGTTATTTCAAACGTTTTGTGCACGAGAGCCTCGTAAATTCTAACTCTGGCATTATAACAAACGTCGTTGAAGTAACAGCACATATTCGCGAGTGGCACTCATAATTATGTTCTCAACTTCATGCGGTGACATTGTGAAGTATGCGTTATATACTCGTATAATGAATTTCCGTCGAAATTTACGCATCATCTAATAGTTCAAAAATGAATGCATTTCATGTCCTTCATAATTAATTTTATTATTAATTGCATTTATAGTATTCTAGTTATCATAGAATTGATACTGTAATGGTTAACCATTTTAAATGATAAACTACAGACTTTTTATTATTGCATTGATATCTTCATTTTGCTAATGCCTATATATGGATAGTCCCATTGTTTTCATGTTGTGTATGCACATATGAAATTGAATTCTACTGCTTGGGTCGAATTAATTTATTTAAATAAATATGCTTTATTTTAAATTTTACGTTATACTAAAAGATCCATTAAATGTGTTGTTTTGAAATGTATTCTTCGCAGCCCAATCTGGAAAAGTATCAAGATTGAACACGAAGCTGCCTATGGAATTAATCATGAGAATTTGGATGATGCAGCACATAATATTCATTATTATACCCGGTTTAATCTGTAAAAGATAAAAAAATGTGTTATTTCAATATGATAAATCATACATACTCTCTCTAAATATCCTAAAATTTTAAATTTAATGAGGTTCTAATTATATAAAAAGAAACTTCTCAGAATTTAACAAAACTCTTTTAATATGATAGCTTCACATTAAATTAAACCCTTTCCCTAATTTCACAACGCCCAATCAAAAGTGACTTAAATAAAAGTAACTTAAAAGCAGTAAAAATCGTATTGAAGCCAAAATTATAATGAAGCAAGCATAAAATCAAACTAAAAGAAAGAAAATTGTTAAAAATTATTAATTGTTTTTATATTTTTTAATGGGATATCGTCTCAAAATGAATGAATCATAAGCGTTAATGTAATGTCTCATTTATGAAATTCCCATTTATCTGACAACTTTTTCTGTTAAACTGTAAAAATTTATTTGCATTGTTTCTTAAACCTAAATTTGAATTGATTCATTATATCAACTAAAAGCATTAATATAAATATATTTTATCAGCAGAAAGTGTAATGTTTCCTATGCTTCTCCGCATATTATAAACATTAGTTTATTCATCTGTTTTAATATTCCATTGGATAATAACAGTAATTTGATTACTTGTACAGGAAATAGTTTCTAAAATTCTATTTCTAAAAATAATTCCAAATACTCAAGATCTTCCTGAATAAATTTCTTGCAGTTCCAAGCAACTTCGTTTGCTATTGAGTTCTTATTAATTACAGTTATTCAGTTAGAGTACCAGGGACCGGACCAAAATGTTGCCAAATGGTTGCCAAGTTTGGCGACTTTTGGATTTTTCTTCTCGCCAAATTTGGTGAGAAAGATTAATTTCCAATACCGTAAGCAGCTTGGTGATATCTTGCCAATTTATTGAGATAAGTCATTTACCTCAATGTAAAATAACATTAAATAACAATTCGTTTTTTAAAGCATTTCGTGCTACATTACGCAAAAGATTCTACAGTTTCACATACAATTTCACTAAAATTATTTACATATATCTAAATTCACAAAAGTAAAATATAAATTATTAATCAGTTTCGAAATGCTTCAATATAATAGACAGTTCACATTTTTGTTATGTCTGCGTCGTTAATGTAATCCCATCTTCATAATGATTCATATTCAAATTTAGGCTTGAAGAACAAACTGCGGTGTCAATTTTTAATAAAAGTAACCCGATTTCCTTCAGTTCTAGCCCTGCGGTTGAAACTGACGGACAGCTGTAAAACTGCGTAATACGGGAATTTGACACTATGAGCTTTATTATATTGAGACAATATTCCAATCAGAAAATTAAGCATAGAAATTAGGCTAAATAATTTATATCTGAAGATTTTTCTTATTTTAAAATCTCTATTAATGATTCATTCTCTATAACTGACCTCAGCAATTAAATTTATTCGCAATGTTTTAATGGAAAATAGGTCGAAACTTTTCTAAATGTAAACTTTTATGAATACTTCATAATACCTATCTTGTCTTAATACGAAATTCTTTTAGTAAAATATTAAGGCAATATGCTATTAAACCCTCAGTTTTATCACTGCCCTTTCCATGGCTGATAATAAATTTAAAACAAAATAACTTCCAATTGCTACCTTTCGTTAAACTTGGAAGTTTAGTCATCTGTTCAAAATACTCATTAAAGAAATAGTAGGAATAAATTTTGTATTTTTATTATTTCGTTGATTGAATGCTTTAAACAGACGAATAAACGAATTTAACAAAGTAGATATGAAAACTATTTCTGAAACCTGATTAATCAACATATTCTTTTGCTACAATTTATGTTTTAAAATCAATATGCTGAATATTTTGATTATTAATAACTAGACATTAATTCCCAAATTAGGTTATATTCATGCTATATGTAAATGAACATACCATTTCAACAGTTTTCATATGCCCGGTTTCAAATACTATGGCGTTAGGTCCTCCAGCAACTGGCAACATGAAAGCGTACGAAGAAGATATAGTGACAGGTAACATCAGATACAGGGGATGAATACGAAAGGCAACAGCCTAAAATGTGAGAATATTTATGTAAACTTTTAAATCATATTTTTAAGAAGTAACGTACAATTTTTATTATTATGCAGAGGTCATATATTTCAATAAATTTACCTTGTATTTAAATGTTGAAAAAATTACCTGTAAACAATGACTTATATAAATACGAGGAAATTTCCGTAGAAAGGGACTCACGAAAGCATCTGTGCAGTGGGAAAGAGTGTTTTATTTTTCGGCTACATAAAATCAACATAGTTTATGTGATTACATTAAACTCTTATATGAATTTAATAATCTTAATGCTGATTTTAAATTCATCAGATTTTATGAATTTAGATAGATTAGAATTGTAATTATTTACTTATAAACATATGCATTTTTATTTATGCGTCGAAGATAAATTTAACAAATAAGAGAAAGAGATTAAGTTGCCTTAGTTTAATCTGACGTTTTGTCCCACTTAGAAAATTCTCTTTGGAATCTTAAAAAGTTTTCATAATTTCTTTATTTTTAGTTTAAATCAAAGTAAGTTATTCTAAACATGTTAGAACTATTTGAAATAAATGTTAGTCGGAATATTTAATATTTAGCTATCAATATATTTCCATAACAATGTAGCAAAGAAAAATGTTTTGCAGGTACATAACTTTAGAATAGAAGTACAGATAGAAAGTAAAAATTAAGTTTTCTCCCTTTGCGATATAATTATTTGTAAAGTTATTTAGGTTAATTAACCAGTTATTTTATGTTTTGATCTGTACTGTCACTTCTCCCTTCCGTTTTCCGGCCAGAACGCAAATTAGTTCATGTGTATTTAAAATGAAGTTTTTAAACTGGAAGACGCAGCCTGTTCTGTTGGTTTTAGACTTTGCGATAAATCGCTTAACATCTACCAAGAGTTTGGTCACCATTGAATGATCGCAAAATACACCAAACATCATACATTATTATTGTTTATGTACGTTTTTATGAAATTTAATAAGCAAAATTTAAAATTTATTAAAAATATATTTTGTTTTGTTAGCAAAATGTCTCCATTTGACTTATCAAAAATTGAGTTATCAGTTGTTTTTAGATCGTGCATTCGGCCCACATGTAATTTGGGTTTGAGACCACAGAGTTAAATGATTGATTAATTTTAAATATACATGTTTGAATCTGCATATCAACATAGATAATGAACAACATATTACTGAAAGTAAAAATGAGATTTTCCGTTCAGCGTGAGCATAAGGTTAATTATCAGTAATAATAATAATGCCAAATTATTATTTTCTGCACGGGAAAACTGCTCTTGAATAAGAGTCGAGTATAACAATGGAGTATTTTCTTCTAACACAAAGTAACTGAAAACCTCATTACTTATTTCAACTGCAGTAATTTTAAACTTTTGCATTTGAATAGAGTATTATTCTTAGAATAACAGAAGGTAAAAATATTACCATCTCGTTGACAACAGGTAGCAAGATCGTTGTGACAGTTGAATTGCTGATGACTTCTGTGAGAACAGTTGTGCATACACAAAGGATTACCAGTACTGTAAGAGGAGAAAGAAAGGATAGTTGAATCATTTGGTCACCAAGCCATTTAGATAAGCCGGACTCCTAAACAAAATTAGGCATGTTTATTTCATATATATATATATAATTATATTTTCCATAATAAATTTAAATTTCAGCAAAATAAATTTCACCATGTTTTTAAACTATTATTTCCCTTTGTATAAAGGATTTAAGTCCCACTTCGTCCACTCAAAATATTAACGGGCGATAGTTTGGAAGATCTAGATATTTAGAAGATTTTCCTTTAGAAACTTCAATTCTTTCATTTTGGTGATTATATTCCCTCCTTCCACCGTGCCTTTGTGGTATAACGGTATTACACTCGGCGCATATTCGAGAGGTCCAGGCTTGAATGCAGGAGAGGCCACTGCATATTTTTCACATCTCCTGCTACAACCCCCCCTAATTACTTTACAGTGGCGCCCAAATTAAAAGGTGGTGGACAATAATTCGTCACCACTAAGATTTGGCGATTGGATCTTCTAATCCTCAGCCGCCAGTTAAAAGGGGGAGTATATAAAGTATTTTCTCCCTCCTTCCAGCATGCCTTCTTGGTGTAACGGTAGCACACTCGACACGTATTTGAGAGGTTCACGTTCGAGTCCTGGCGATGGCATTACATATTTTTCACGTCTACTGCTTCGAAACCCCTTTGATTATCAATGGTTATAAAAAGCCATATTCATATTTTAATAGTTTTATATCATACAATAAGATTATAGCATCATTGCGTATGAACACATGGAAAGATGTCTCAAGTGCAGAATGTACAAAATAGCTTGATTTATTGAGCGCGAATGCCGGAGTTGGCGAGGTGTTACTCATAGTATCACGTAAACATTCCGTTTAAGGAATGTTAAAGGATCAATGCTTGGTGTGGATTCTGGATGAAAGAGTTCACCAGGTAGAAGGAGTGTTGCACCATAGACCATTTCGGTACAGATACTATAGATGCCTTTTTTAAATGATGTACGCGCGAGCAAGACAAGAAGTAACACTTCTGTTCAATATATGCCATTGTGAGAGTTCAGAGATCAGAGCTTGAAACAATAGAGCTTGTTTCAGGGGTGAAATCGTTCCACTATCCCATTTCCAGATGGAGGTAAAGTGTTGTTCAGATATGGCGAATGTCAAGAAGAGAGGTGACTGCTGAGAACAAATGAGATTGAAATTGTCGGCCTTGGTCGGTAGTAATAGTAGTAGGCATACAAAATCATGAAATCCCTTGGAAGATGAATGCCCGAGCTACGGTTTCAGCAAAGGAATTTTGAATAGGAATTGCTTTGGGCCATCGTGTGAAACGGTCGATGCAGGTAAGAAGATAAGTATAACTATTTGAAAGAGGCAATGGGCCTGCAAGATCTATGTGTATGCGATAAAAACGCTTTGATGTAAGGTTAAATTGTTGAATAGGACTATGAGTATGGCGAGAGATTTTATAGCGTTGACATCGAATACATGAACGAGTCGAATCTGTGATGTCTTTGTTTATTGCTGGCTATACAAATCTGAAATAAGCTTTTTGGTGGCACGAATTCCAGGATGTGCCAAATTGTGTAAAGCACTGAACACTTGACGTCGAAAATTGACAGGGGTATAAGGACGTACCTTATTGTTGCGTGTGTAACATTAAATTTTAAATGTTGGATCAATGTAGAGTGGGTCTAACTCAAGGGAGGTTTGTGGATTTGATATCAGGCTCTTGAGTTCCTCATGATGCAAGCGGGATTTTGAAATTTCAGAAAACTCTGGAGCGGTGAGTTGCGTATCCTAGATAAAGTGTTAGCAACACAATTATCAGTACCAGAGATGTCTGATGTCTGTACAAAACTGAGCAATAAAATCCAACTGACGAAGCTGATGATAGGAGCATGAATCAGTTTTTTATAAATGCAAAGATTAATGGTCGATGTCAGTGAAAATGATGAAGTCATGCCCTTCCAAAGTTTGTCGGAAGTATTTAATAGCACAATACGTAGCAAGAAACTGTCTGTCGCATGTGTTGTATTTCCTTTTAACAGTGATAAGTTTCCTTCAGAAGAATGCCATTAGACAAAGTTCTTTAGTCGTGCATGCCTGAAGCACAGCTCTTATGGCCGTGTCAGATGCATCTACCATAATAGAGAACTGATTATTAGGTGAATGATAAGACAGTGCGGCTGCATTTGCCACATCATTTTTGCATTGTACAAATGCAGCAGATGCTAATTCAGTTCGCGGGACAGCTCGGTTATCATTTTTTTGCTATCCTTCAGAAATTCATAGAGAAGTGCTTATATTTTTGCAGCATTTGGTAGAAAGCGTCTGTAGAAATTAAGCATTGCAAGGAAACGCCTCAGTTCGGAGAAGGGTTTTGGTTGAGGCAGGTCATTGATTGCTTTGCCGTTTTCAGGTAGAGGTTTTACGCCATCCGGAGTAATAAGATATCTAAGAAAAGAAACTGAGGACTGGCCTAGTACACATTTGAATGGGTTTAGTTTTAATCTGTGAGCTTGAAGGCGGGTGAAAATCTGATGCAGATGTTGTAGATGTTCTGCCGCGTCTTTAGATGCAAGCAGGATATAATCAAATTAAGGAATACAGAAGTAGAAGTCTAGACCAAAAAATACTTGGTGTATGAATCGCTGGAATGCTTGGCCAGCATTACGAAGGCCGAATGACATATGCAAGTACTCATAGAGCCCAAATGGTGTGATCATAGCAGTCTTGGGAACGTCTGCAGTATAAACAAGGATTTGATGATATGCTTTTGCAAGATCGAAAGTAGAAAATATGTGTTTACAATGAAAGAGCTAAGTTCAGTCTTGTACATGTGGTACAGGATATCTGTTGGGGACAGTATTAAGGCGACGGTATTCCTCGCAAGGCCGCCAGTTCGGTCGCGGACACTTAGCCGACAACCACTTAGCCGACAGGACACTTAACCGACACCAGTTAGCCGACGAGACATTTAGCCGACAGGGACACTTAGCCGACATGGACACTTAGTCGACAGGAAATTTAGCCGACAAGGACACTTAGCCGACATGACATTTAGCCGACAGAACATTTAACCGACACGAACACTTAGCCGACAGGACATTTAGCCGACAAGGACACTTAACCCACAGGTCATTTAGCCGAAATGGACAGTTAGCCGACAAGACACTTAGCCGAAAGACATTTAGCAGACAGGACATTTAGCTACGGAACACTTAACTGTCAACACATTTAGTTGACAGAACACAAAGCCGACAGTAACTTTTAGCTGACACGCACCCAATAATTATTCAAACTTACTATCAATTACAAAATTTCTCGACTTCTCCATAAGTTCAATATTTAAGTTATTTTTTCATTATCAGTAAAATTCATTTTTCGATTCTTAAAGATCTTATATATACTTTTAATTATTGTGTTAATTTAGCATTGTTTGATATGTATCCTTGGATCTCATAAGAAATAGACCAACCCAAATGGGTTTTCTCCCTTGCCTTGGCGTATTGCCGGTTGTCACCTTGACCACATCCGAAGGAGTAGGGACTACTTGCAGAAACTTAACAATAGTTGGCTATTGCAGCGCGTACAATTTTCAAGAAAAAGCTGGTGATAGCGCCTCATTTCACAAATTAAAATTTTTAGATATTTTTATTTTTGAAACTGAGATTGATTTTTAAAAATTTAGCATATTTATCAGGCATAATTAATGTTCTAAAAAATAAAGCTGTTATGTTCTCAGCTGTTGCGGTATGCTTTTAAAGCTTCAGGTCTGGGTATTTTTTTAACTTTTCCTATGCTGTAAGGAAATTCGTAGCTCCTTCTATTAAAAAATAATATTTTAAATCAGAATTAATAGAAAAATTCAAACAAATAATTTTCTCTTACAATTTTTATGCTTTTTATTGGTGTAAATAAGTAAAAATTACTAAAATAAAAAAAATGTATTTTTGAAAGTTTTTGCTTAAAATTCTTATTTGTACTGCTTTTTTAAAATTATATCTGAATATTATAGCATAATATTCTACAAAGAAGTTTTATTTCAATAATATTTCATAATACATCATAGTCATTAACACTTCTAACACTTTAATAATTTTTATGCATATACTCTAATGTTAAAAATTGTATTTAATTGTAATAATTAATTGTACTAGTATTTTATAGTGATTATTTTTTTATTTATGTCTAGTTCTGCATAAGTTTTCTTATTTATTGTTAATTTATTTTATTAGCCCAAAGCGGCGGCAGCTCAGAAAAGCTATTAGTTTCGAAACGACATTTTGCTTTGTTTCACTATAAATGTTCGTTTCACTTTGCAAACTGTTGCCACCAAATATTATCGACCTATATTATATTGTTACAGATTTGGTATTTAAAAAGCTCATGTTAGTAAACCTATAAATTAAATTGTTTTATTTCCCGTGCAGTGCAGCGCGTGACGAATAGCGCCGACAGGTCATTTAGCCCGTGGCGGCTAAGTGTTCGTGTCGGCTAAATGTCCTGTCGGCTAAATGTCCTGTCGGCTAACTAGTGTCGGTTAAGTGTCACGGACCCGTTTCGCACAACGTGTTCCTGCGATCACTAGTTTGACGCCTAACAAATTGATATTTATATAATCATGTCAATATGATTTTCAGTTTTAGTGGTTTTATATTAAAAATTATTTGTGTAAAAAACGAAAATAATAATAAAATAAATTCACAAAATGCTTACAAAAATTCGTATTCATACGACAGTTTCACCGACTCAACTCATGCGCAGAAACACTTAACGCAATTAGGAAAGCTAAGCCGGAAAGTTAAAAATACAAGAGCACGTGCATTTAACATTTAATAAATAAATATCTCTTTTTGATTTCGAGAAAGTTCCAGAAAATTCTCGCGCGCGATTTAAAATCTTATAAAAGGAGGAAATCCTCTTAGTTCGTTGGGATGTTAGTTAGTTTCTTGTTGTTTTAAGAGTTTGTTTAGAAAACTGCTCTTGTTGATTGTAGCGAATTCGCGGATTAGCTTTCTTTCGGTGTTTCGAATTAAGTTCTCTTGAACGTTTGAGTAGTTAAAAGA